TTAATTCATTTTATTCATATAGCGCCAGTTAACATCACATGTCATCTCAAGGCAATCCAATCCAATCCACTTTATTTATATAGCACGATTTCAATAAACACAAGGTTTCCAAAGTGCTGCACAAAAAGATAAAATAACTAAGATAAATAAAAATAAATAAAAGAAAATAAAAGCACTGCCTGCACAGGATAAAAATATGCATGTGTATACATAAAATCAACACTCTACATGGTGTCAAAGGCCAAAGAAAAGAGGCAATTTATCCAGATCATCCAGTCAGATTGATTCAAAGTTTTCTATCAAAGGAAAACCAGCTGATTGCATCGACTCATTCTATCAAAGACAATCTCTCACACTAAGCATGCTTGTAGCGACAGTGGAGAGGAAAAACTCCCTTCTAACAGGGAAAAACCTCCAGCAGAACCAGGCTCAGTGTGAGCGGCCATCTGCTGAGGCCGACTGGGGTTCAAGGAGACAGAAGCAGACATAGAAAAGGAAGCATAGATACAAAAAGCAACTGTCAACCAGCTCCACAATGTCCAGCAAAAACACAGCCAGGCAGACGTGTTCCGAGCCAGCTCCAGTGTTAGAGGATAAAAAGAGCTCATCCAGTTAGTCACAGTCAGAGAAACAGGAGTACACTGAAAAATCAGGTCGATCTCCAACATAAACAAAGGTGTTGATGCCAGCAGCACAGCTGATATTTCTCTCCAGGATGGAGTCACAGCCAAACAGGAACAGACCAGATGAAGCTACTATGAGAAAAAGCAGAGAGAGCAGAACGTTAGAAATTGAACTAACAGATTCTGCAGAGTGGGAGAATAGAGATAGAATGATGAAAAGAGGCGCCTATGTCCTCCAGCAGTCTAAGCCTATAGCAGCATAACTATAGAGATAGCTCAGGATAACCTGAGCCACTCTAACTATAAGTTTTATCAAAAATGAAAGTTTTAAGCCTAGCCTTAAAAGTAGACAGGGTGTCTGCCTCACTGACTAAAACTGGTAGTTGGTTCCACAGGAGAGGAGCCTGATAACGAAAAGATCTGCCTCCCAATCTATTTTTAGAAATTCTAGGAACCACTAGTAAACCTGCAGATTGAGAGCGAAGTGCTCTGTTAGGAATATAATATAATTATATATATATAATATATAATATTATATTATATATATATAATATATATAATAAAAAATATTTTAATCAAAGAAAGGTTTTAATAGTCATTTTGCTCTTTTCTCACAATTTACTATTCAAAATCTTTTGAAAACAAATTTTTTGAAAATAAATTATTTTTTACAGGTATTATATTTTCATTTTTCTATTTTTTTCACAGAGTTAATATTTTATATATATATTATATTTTTATTTTACAGATTTAATATGTTTGCTGTGTTTTTTTTTTCCAACATTCTGTTTTTGAGATTGAGTTTTACTAATTACATTATTTTTAAATTGAGTTCAATTCATGCGGAAGAATAGAAATGCTTCTCTGCTCCCCTTCGTGAGGAGAAAAGCCCGCCCGCAGAAGTGAAGAGAATGTGACATAGAAAATGCCATTTAAAAAGAATCCAGTCGGAAAAATAGAAATTTGTATATTTGTATATAAATATATATATATATAAAAAAAGATTTTTTTGAAAAAAACAAAACCTGAGAAAACCTTTTTAAATAAAACACCTTTCAGAATTTCATCCCTGCAATTTTTTTCTTCAAATGTGAAGAAAAAAGAAAAGTGTACTTTGCTTGTTAAAATATTGGAACAAGATTCACTCCGTACCGTTTCCCCTTTGTTCATTGTGTTCTGGTCACGCTTGGACAGTAACGACAAACAACAGTGTAAAAAAAAAAAATGTGGTTTACAATTTATATATCATATCGTCTCTGGCCTAAAAAAACTTTGAGGATGTTTTCAGGTTAGAATTTAGCTTTTGAAGCGTGTATGTCTGAACAGTTGCTCAAAATTTTACCAAATTAAAACAAAAGAGCTCATTCATTGTTTTGAAATCATGCCTAAATATATATCCACCAACACTGGCCTCATTGCGCTTCATTTTTAATAAAGATGTGATGTTTGTTTTGGTCTTTTTTGGCCTTATCTTCTGCATGTGATCAGCCTGCAGAACCAAGATGGCTGTTGAGAAAAAGAAAGTCAGACAAGTGGAACAAGAAAGCAGCCACGCTTAGCCTGGGAGGCAACTGAGTTTCCATAGCAAAGCAATAATAGGGCGGCCTGATTAAAACTCTGATCGAGTCAACAGAACCAAAGCTGGAGTCTACATCCTATTAAATCCTGTAAATGGTAAAAATGTTTGGATCTTTAGCAAGCAGGGACAAAACAAATACTTTATAAACATTTAGCAATTTAGAAAACAAAGACAAATCTAAAATGTGACTTTTGTGAAGAGTCAAAGGAAAACTGAATTAAAATAGAATATTTGGATAGTTTAAGACCAAACAGCTGGTTTCAACTGAGATTTAGTCTCCATTCAATGTCAAAATCTTATTATTCGGTTTTCAAATATAGAATAGTGACAAACTTGATTATAAAAGATGTGAGATGTAGAAAAGTGCAGCAGTTTTAAAATGATAGAGGTTAACACTGCAAAACCTGATCTAAAGATAAAGATTTAAAAATTCTTAAAATTCTGTAAAAAAGTGTATTTGCTCTTAATTTGAAAAGGTAAATAAAATTATCAGCCACTGAGAGGAGAATTTGTTTGGTGTTAAATGACGATAATTTGATATCATGTACTTAAAACACAATAATGGAGTTATTTTTTTTCTTAATTATCTCCTTAAATTGAGGGAAAATACAAATATTTCAAGAAAAATCAACCTACTTAGATTTCAACTTTTGCAAGTAATACACTGTCAAATATGGAGGGCCCAGAAAGTCACTGAAAAAAAAATCACGTATTTCAATCAGGCAATTTGAAATCAAATTTGAAAAGTATTTTTTAATAGCTCGTTTTAAAATAAATTATCAAAGAAGTTTTGTAAATTGTATTTATCAATCAGTTATTAAATTAACTTGAACATGTATTTTCAAATCATATTTATAATGAAATTTAATAAACAAAAATCATAAATCTGATTAAAATGGCTTTCCTAATCACAAATTTAAAAAAAAGTAATTCCTTAGTCCATTTCCTTTTTCAACTTGCATTTTAAAATCCTTTTTGAAATTGCATTTTCATTTTGCCTTATCCTCTCCATTTACCTTTTTCGTGACCAATCTGGTCCTGAGCACGCTTGAAACAATTTAACCAATCACAATTGCTCCTATGATGTAACCAGCTCCCTCATTGGTCAATTTGTGTGGCAGTCTAACCAATGAGAGAGTTTAACTGGTTTGCCGAGAGAGGGCCGCTGCAGACGGGCTGCGGTTCGACCTGGCTGCCGTTAGCTTCGGAGCTCCGTTGGTGCCGCAATCCTCTCAAGTTTGGAACATTTTCTTTTAAATTACGCGTTAAATCTGTGAATGGGCCATATGGTGATGCTTAAAAGTATAATGTTCTCGCCTGAAATGATCTTAAAACGTACTTTTATTGAACAACAGCAACAGAAAACAGAATATTTAAGTATTACAGTATGAGCTCTGTGATTTAAGAAGATGTGCTGCCAACCAATGAGCAGAAGTTGACTCTCTAGGACACGCCCCCTCTTCATTTGCATAATGAGACAGAAATGCAGACAGAAATGTAAAAAGGGCAGGCAGGAATGTAAAAAAAAAAAATAAGGTAAATATTACAAAGGCAAATAAATAAAGAAGCTAATTAAAAGAATTATATACATTTATGTCTTACTGTATAATTTGATTTCTACTTACATTTATTTGTTGATTGTGTTTTTGTTGGCAATTAATTGTATTCTTATATATTTATTGAGCCTTTATGTATTTCTGTATTTATTTTTAAATATGGCAGAGTTGGTCCTCCATACTAAGGAACCAGTAGGGGCGTGGAAAACGTAAATGAAGCGGTGCATTGTTTTTAAATATGTTTTACAGATCACTTTCTATCACTTCAGGCCAAATACAAACGCTCTCTGTTAAGCATCTACCAATAAATATGTTGTTGCTAACGTCCAGCAGACCAACAACAATAATTTTATTCTCCTCACTCCAAAGAAAAGCCCCTCCATAATTTAAGAGGATATAATCTATTAAATCCAGTTTGAAAAATAATACTATTCATAAGAATCACTCTGAAACAGAAAAAAAATATATACAATTTAAAATAATCTGAGAAAACATTGAAATTTCTCTCAAAACCTTTCTTGGATTAAGACATTTTCCAATTTCTTTTCGGAGAGTGAATCCACAATTTTTTTTATTTTACAACAACAATGGAAGAAAATTCACTCCATACTTTAACATGTTAAAATAACATTTTCTGGTTATAAAAAGCGGGGAAACTCTGTGGTACGGTAGCTGCATGGCTGGTGAATAAAGGGAGGTCGTAACCCAGTTACATTTACTCACATTTGCTGGAGTAACATTAAGATAAGGTACTTATGGGAGTAGTTGTAGCCAGTCCATACCTCCATGGGGATCTATTCTCAAAATTTGAATTGGGGTTCCTCTAATTCTGCAATAAATATCTATTTCTGTGATCAAAAGTTGGAAGATCAGATCATTTACACATCAAACTATAAACCCCCTGCAGCTGTGGCAGGGCTGCTTACAGTCTCATGTTTGTATGCTTCCACCATTGTTACTTAAAATGATAAAATAAACTAGAATGACTATTTTATTTACTGTAAAAGTGTCATTTGGTTTTTATACTTTTTGGCTTTAAATGACTTGTTGCAGAAAGACAAATTAATGAGCTAGGACAAATAAAAGCAATAAAATGTATTAAAACAGATATAGTTATTTCTCATTGCAGATTGACTGAGAAACGGATCTGTTTCTTTAAGGCTGTGCCATAAAAGTCTCATGACTGGCTAATTTCAATGTTTTGTACTAAGAGAGACTGTGTTCAGATGACCTCCAGGCATGTGCTGAGGTTAGAGCCTATAAAAAGCTGGAGACCAGCAACAAAACAGCAGAACTGCAAACAAACCAGTAGTTCATCTGAGCTGCTCAGAGCTTTCGTGTTCAGTTGCTGTTAAGAAAAAGCCCCTTCAAGGTATCATCCTTCTGTTCTGGGATCAGGACAGCACTTCCTGGGTGCTTTAGAAGAGATTTGTTGTGTAGCTGTTTCAAAGTTCCGATTTTCAGCTCTCGAAATGAGTAAATTTCACGGCGAGCTGACCGAGAGGGAGCAGCAAATGCTGAGAATCCGCCGGGACAGTGACACTAAGGCTGCTGAACTCGCCAAGATGGAGAAGATGCTGCAGCAAACCAAGAACATGCTGGAGAAGAAGACAGATTCCAGTTCGGAGAGCAAGGGTTACCAGGAGAACATGGGTCTGTAACACAAACCTCATACTTGAATTTGTTGTTTTTATTCTAATTCTTGCTGCTTCTGGTGTCACAATATTATTTCTGTTACCTTGCTGCAGTGGAGGACCTGGAGGAGAAGGTTCGCTCCACCAGGCGGTACAGGAGAAACTCCCTCCACCACACACAGATGCTGGAGAGCCAGATGAAGACGGTGAAAGGGGAGCTGGTGGGCACGCTGGACCATCTCCAGGAGCTGAGGAACGTCCTGCGACGCTCCCAGCAGAAAGCAGAGGAGCGCACAGCGGCCATGGAGAAGCTGGCCGCAGGCCTCAGGTGAACAACCTCCTCTAGAGTCAGCTTTTCGTCAATCAAATCACTCATTCCCTCCCAAAGCTGTGCAGAAAAGAGCATTTATTTACACCCCAGCTGCACTAAAAGAAGAACTGAGAGACGAGACTTAAACTGCTCCCCCCCCCATATATCCACATGTTTCCACAGTCCTAAGCTGTAATCACTCCTGTGTTTTTCTATCAAATAAAACTATATGTGATCATCAACAAGATGTTAGTCACGTAGGCCTGATGTGTTAAAAATCTGCTTTCCTGCAACTTGACCTCCAAGAATTGTTGTAAATCTGGGTTCTGCTGCCGGATTAGTTCCCTGAAGACAAAGAAGAGTGTTGTGGCTGAGATGTGATCAGAACTCATTTAGTCTGTTTCACACTGCATCCCATGATGTGAGGAGATTTCACTGTGACTTCATCAGGACACTGAGGCTGTGGGAATGCTGCATCCGGATCTATCCTGTTCTATCCACATTCAATGTTATCTTATTCGGTTTTAGTTGAAAATGTGAATTGATTCAGGTGATTGTTTGGGGATAAAACAAGATGATGAAATTGTGAAATAAAGCAACAGAGTTACGCCACCTGGTCCTTATTGGTTTATTCTTTTAAATGATAAAAAAAAACAAAAAACTCAGCTTTTGGAGAAAGGTAGATGTTCTACCCCCATGCTCTCACAGGGGGCGCTAGAGCCAACTCGGCAATTATCCTGAGAGAGAAGAGCAGAGGCACATTCTCGCTGTTTCTTCTAATGGAGAGAAAATATGTGGGTTTTAAATGTTTTTGTGTTTTTCCTTTTAACAAATCTTAATCCGTAAAACAACAACAAAAACATACTTTCATGCATTTCTACACTGCAATAAATTAAAATCTACATAAGTAATTTTTTTCTTGAATTAAGGAGGTAATTGAGACACTTTGCCAATGGAACAAGACAATTTACATTTCAAATAATAAAACACAATTGCATTGTCTTATTTCAAGTGCATATTATCTAATTATCTTATTTTTTGACTAAAAATACTCATTCCATTGGCAAATTATCCCATTTACTTACTCAGCCAAATTAATGATAAATACACTTAATTTAAGGCATTTATTTCTCATTGTTAGATGGTTTTTGCAGTGTAATGGACATGGATGTGACTAAAGCAATTTAGAGATGTGAATAATTCTAATCTTTAATGTTGAAAAATACTGAATAAAAAAAAAAAATCAATGAAATCTAAAAACAATAATCATTGGCATAAATTTATATTCACTCATTTGTCTTATTTACTTTGTGAAGCCTTTACTGTCGAAGCCCTAAATAAATGATGCCTCAAACAGCTGCCTTTGGAATTCATTCAGTTTGGTAAAACCTTGTGTCGTGTACTTTCGCTTGATTTTATGAGAGTTGTTGCATATAGAATTTACTGTTTTGGTTTCTAAATTTATTTGTTTGTTTTTTCTTTTCGGGAGGCATATCTCTTTCATCTAATCTTATCTCCTTCTTTCCTTTACTATACTATATATATATATATATATATATATATATATATATATATATATATATATATATATATATATATATATATATATATATATATATATATATATATATATATATGTAGATAAATATCGGAAAGCGGAAAAAAATGGATGGCTAGATGGATTGATTTATTTATTAGTGTTGCACCAATCAGTGGCGGCTGGTGAAAAATATTTTTGGTGGGGCTGCTATAGCCTAGTGTATGTCTCCAACTAATCTGGAATAAGAATTCAAATAAACAATTGGACAATACATACAATTTAACAGTAATGATTTAATTTACTATATAATAACATAGGGTGACCATATTTTCATTTGGGAAAACCAGGACACCTTGGAGCGTGGGGGGGGGTGGGGGTGTGTGTGGGGGGAACAGTTGTGAAATTTGAAGTTCAGTTTAATATAATAATACAACTCTGTGAATAGTTCCGTCTAAAATGAATGAAAATAGTTGTTTTAATGGTTATAGAGTCAGATATGTGGCGGTAATGTTTGGTTTATCTAAAGGTTTTAATCTGTTACTGGGTAAATGGGTTTGGCTGGAATTTAAGGACAGATTCTAATAGATCTGCAGAGTGGGAACTATAAATCTGATAGGATTTTAATTTTTTTATTGTTGTTTTGCACAATATGCTTAACTAAGTATTTTTTGTTGTTGAATATTAGAGATTTTGCAGATACATTTTGTAGATACATAGTTTAGATTTACTTATATATTTCTAACCCTTTTATAGAATAGAATAGAAAATCCCTTTATTGTCCCACAATGGGCAGATTTACAGCAGCAGAAAGATTATTGAAAATGGTCACACAAATGAGGACCTTAGAGAAATATAATAGGGAAACATAATAGGGAAGAGTTAAAATATAAAAAATAAAATTCTGTAAAGTGTTTTAACAATATAAAACTGGAGAATAAATAACCAATATGCAGCTATGGACATTTTTACAATAATAAATATATTTGAAAATAGCAGCAACATCAGAGATGTGCAGAATGACAGCAGCAGGTTATTTAACTGACTAAGGTTTCTATCATTACATTTGATTTTATTTGTTCCTGCTCCCGGTGGTTGGAACCTTTATTCCACTCTGGATTCTTGTGAGTGAAGTCTTTGTTCACTTTAACTTTTTTAAAAATAAATAAATAAACAAACAGTTTTGAAAACCTCGGTATTCATTCTTTTCCTGCTTTGTGTGTCAACTTTCACGGTTGCTAAGCAACAGAGCACACAGCAGTAAAACCCGTAGAAGGGAGGACCTGTTCGAATTTACAGACAGAACTCTTCCGGCCTCCTTATTTTCAAGGACTTCGAAGGATCCAGTCTAGGTAGACCGCGTCCTTGGAGGATGCAGCCCAGGTTTTTGAACAGAGCCTCTGATTAAGAGCAGGGCTGCCCGCACTGACGCGGCTCAGGGATTACGTCACACGGAGCGTCGTGCGCAGTGAAATCGGGACATTTCCTCACTTCTAAAAAAAAACCCGGGACGCCCGGGACAGGACGTGAAATACGGATATGTCCCGGGAAATACGGACGTTTGGTCACCCTATAATAACAGTAACAGTGATTTTGGTCACTGTGACGGGGTTCTTTGACCTCCAAGAATCCAGGCCCAGTCGGGTTACCGGTGTTGGTGATTTATTGTGCTCAAAAACTCAAAACAGGGTGCAAAAGAAACTAAACATGTACAAGATGTTTAGACACAAACACAGTATAACAGGAATGTGTGTGTGGCGCGCAAAGTTAGAGGATGTTTTAAGCGACGAGGTGGATTCGTCACAGTCACAATAACCATGACAGGAAATGTTCTTATCCTACAACAGGGATGTTGTTCTGGCAAACGGGTAGATAAATAAGGATCTCACCCAATTTGGTGGAAGCTGCACCTCGCTCGTTACATTCGCCATCTTCCCTCTAATTGTCTGCACCTGCGCATTGGGTTCAGAAGCCTGTTAAAGTGCAGTATTTTCAGAGCCCCAAGACCATAAAGTTCTGAGACGCTGATTGGCCATTAAATTATTAAATTGACCTAGCAATAGTACATGATTGACAGATTCTCTGCAAATGTGGGGCTGTCTGATCAGCGCACCAAGACGGAGACTGTAGGAGTCTGTCTGTGGAAATCCACAAATGAATGACAGTAGGTAGGGAAATGTAGTTTATATAATTTGTTTTGCTTATAGGTACACACTCTAGAGAGTAAAACTGACAGTTATGAGTTAATTTCTAAAAATATATTTTATGTTTCTCTCTTCTTATCAGGGAGGGCGGTGCCCCAGCGCCCCCTATGGGCCGGCCGTCACTGGCACCAATACTGATACTAGTATCTGGCAGGGCCCTGATACTGCACTAAAATGGTGATATCGGTATCGGCGAGTACCGACAAATAGGGCACTGATACCATTTTGACCCATTCCAGGTAGGCAATGAAAAGTTCTACTGGATTCACTTTGTTTTAGTCTGTTTCCTGCTTCACAAAGGTAGGCAGCAGCCTGACAAAGCCATGATGGAAATTATTTTACATCCAAGCAGTCAAACAGATGGTATCAGTATGGTATCGGCCAATACTGCACAGCCAGGTATCGGGTGAATGGTGAAAGCCTTTGGGCCTTAAGCTGACACTCGGAGGGCAGCTCCTGCTGGTTGGGACAAGGAAAAAACACTAAAAAAAACAGCCTGGAGGACGGAGCTCAGCAGACAGGCCAGGTAGGATGTTTTTATTAAGATTTGAAAAATGTGTAATGTTGTAATAATGAAACCAAATTTAAAATGAACCAAACTGACTGCCTGGGTGAGCAGGATATTAATCAGCCAAGATTCGTAGGAACTCTAAAGAGGTGGCAAGGACCCAAATCTCCACAAACAGGACTTTTTTTTGGCAGAATACTAAGAAAAAAAAGACTTTCTTGAGACAAAAACCGTAGGAAGTCACATTTGCAATTTTCGCAAGCTATACGGGGATCAAATATTTGGTAGAAGTTTGCTAAACATCTGAACTCACCTGAACTTTAATCTGATGAGAAATGGCGTGGGCAGCATCCTGTTGACAGGTTGTTTTTCTTCAACATGACAGGGAAACTGGTTGAACTGAAGAGTCTAGAGCACCTCGCACACGGCACGCATGGCACCAACTTCCAAGAGGATACCAAAAGACCAGGCTCATTAAGCAATCTTCTGCTTCTATTTAAACCGTCTCAGTCCCAGCCATCAGAGCCAGATTATTGCTCTTATTTTAGTGCTTTTCTCGCTGGCCAGTGGTGAGAGGCTTTTTTTAGCAAACCATAGTGTTTCTGCTTTCGTGATCCAGACCTGTTCTGCCTCTCATCCACTGAGCGTGCCTGTATCTGTCTGATCTCAGAGGAGAGGGTGTTTTTAGAGTACCATAGTGTTTATGATCACAGTGTCTATCTCACATTGAAAACTGGGTCCCTCCATCCTGCTTTCTGACAAATGTCTAAAGATGGTTATCAGATATATGTAATAGAAAATATGGTTTCCTTTGAAAATCAGTAATTTATTTCAAAGCACCATTCATCAGTATTTATAAGAATTCATCTGCTTTCTTAAAAAGGTCTGGTTTACTGGTCCACTCTGTCTGCCTCCTGCACACCTCTTTTTAAATAGCAAAAAATGAAATCTAAGTAAGTCAATTTTTCTTAAAATAAGTGCTTTTTGTTCTTCAATAGAGCAGGTAAGTGAGACGCATTTTCAATGGAAAAAGACATTTAAATTAAGAGCACATAACTGCAGTCTCTTATTTTAAGTGCAAAAAAATCCAAGTATTTTACTTTTGAAATAATCATTCCATTGGCAGATCATCATTTTACATGCAGTTATTCCATGCCTGAGCAGCAATAAACCCTTTTAAGCAAATTAAAAACATGAAAATCATTAAGGCAGAAGCTACAGAAATTAAACAGCATCATGCTCATCCTATTTTTATTATCCAAAAAAAAAAAACAATAAACAGATTGACTCTAAACAGCAGCTGATAATTTAAATTAATAGTCAGAAATTATGCAGAATCAGAGGATGTTTGGTTTGATAAGTGCTAA